GGCTACATTCAAGGACTGTATGAGATTTCTAGCTGCAAAGCAGAGACTGTTACCACTTAATAAAAGGACAGAGGTTGCTAACTTAAAAAATGCTCAGGCTTGGTTAATATTGTTCCTCCTGAATGCAGAGCTCCATCCATCTAAATTATGTCCTTACCTTTTTTAATTGGAATGAGTCATTTTCTTGTACAAGGCACAACTCCAGATAGCATATCAACCAACATCAGTTTACACATGATTTTATCTCTCATAATAATGAGCTGCTGTGCACAGGGAAGGCTGATGCATAAAGCATTTCAAAACACCTTTTCTTAGGATGCAAACTGGAAACACTGAAACAGGCAGTTATTATTTATTAGTTGCACAGTGGTCACATCTAAGCACCCCAGTCATGGACCAGGAGATCATTGTGCTAGATACTGTAGAGATGCAGAGAGTTCATAGTTTGAAAAGAAAAGAGGCAGAGGATCAATGCTGCCTATTTCCTTCCCCAGAGTTTGTGCCACAAGCTAATACAATAGCAGGAAAGAACACATTTTCGACTAAACGCAAAGCTCATATGCAAATTGGACCATTTGCAAGAAACCCATTAGCTAGAGATAGCTGCTATATATGTCGCAGTCACTAAAGGAGGACATAAGTCAACATATGACCATCCATCCTGAATTTTAGAACTATGTTCCATTATTCTCAAAGGGTCCTTGAATTGGGAATTTTGTTCTGAATTTAGAAAACTGACCTATGGATAGATCAATCCCCTCTGTTCCAGCAAAGAAAAATCAACTTTCCTGCCTACGAGACATATGCCCATTTTGGAGACCCAATTTTGGGAGAAAGGGTGCAAGTGGCATGGAAGTAATTACTGTAAACAAGTATTTGTTGTCATGCACAAGATCCTAATTATCCAGTGATCCATGACTACCAGATTTCCACTGATGGCCACCTCCCTGACTAATTTCCTGACCAAAGATACAATTCTCCACATCAGAAACCATATCTGTGTCCCACATGGTCAGCCATGACTTGGAAAAACCCAAACTCTTGTCAAGATTTGTCTCTTCCCAGTCACTTCTGGGAATTGAAGCTGATATTCTGATATTTCTGATGGCCAAAGATACAGTCCTTTCTCAAATTACATATTACTCTGTGGCGTGTTCTTAAATAAAGACTTGATGTACAAAATCTTTTGTTCCCCTCCTAGTGTCCAACCCCATTTTAGCCATGGTCATCCATTTCCTTGTGGACTTGTCAAACTTCAGAGAAACTCATCTATCTCCATCACCGTTGATTAATTCACTAAAATGTAATACTTCATCTCATGTCCCAGAGTTCACACAGCTGAGGAAATGGTCCAACTCTTCAAACTTCACAGCCTACCATCTAGCATCACCATTAACCTAGGGCCAAAATTCACTTCTCTTTTGGGGGTGAATGTTTTAAACTTCCGAAAGCTAAAGCTGAGCAACATGCTTATTGTCCCAGACCAATGGACCAACGGACACACTGAATGAGTTAGGAAAATCCCCAAACAATAACTGCGTCTCTACTCCTTATTACTGAGTGCGCCTATAATTCCAGCCACATATTGGTCCATCGCAGCCCTTTGTATGCCCACTATGAATTTAATATGTTTTCATTCATTTTTATCTGAGATCTCCCATATTCCCGAAGACAACAACCTTGCTCATTATCTACACCACATCCAGCAAGGACTGAAAGAACATCCTAACTCCATCCAAACCGTGTAAAACATGACAGACCAACGCAGCCAGGAAGCCCTAGTTTCACTGCGTACAGTAAGGTATGGTTGTTAGCACATAATCTTGAATCTACTCACTTCAAGCAAATTGGACCATAAATATCTGTACACTGACAATCCATTTCAGAGATGATCCGACCCTCCACCCCTTCCAATTACCACTCAAGGGCATAAATAATTCTATGTGTAAAAATTCTCAACTCCAAGCCGGTCCGGGGGAAGCTCATGTAACTATTCAACTGGGGAAGATGAAGGAAAGGGGATGGTTACACTGACTCACTGAGCTTGGGAACCTGCCAGCCGTACCTATATACCTGATCTGATCACAGAATCTCACCGGACCAGTCTTGAGAACCATGGCTCACAAACACCTGGAAGGTGTTCTTCAAAGTGGGGGTGTAATGCAAGGGAATTGGACACTAGTATGCAAATTTAACCCTCCTTGACCTTGGTGAGTCATTGCAGCATGTAATTACATATGAGTGAAGAACAAAGCATGTCTGCTCAATCTAGTGCCTACCTGAGCTGCTGTTTTTCATCTTGTCTGTTATGTGAAGTGTCTCATGATAAACCCTTGTTCCTAACACCTGGTCTCTACAATGACAGGGCAGTTTCCTGGGACTCTTCACTCTGTCAGAGCTATGTAAATAAAGACTACATAAGACTTGGCACTTCTAATCTAAGCAGCTTTCCAAAGATGACTATGTCGAGTGGTTGAAGTTCTCTGAAAATTTTATGCTGTAATGACAAATGGACTTTTTCCTGGAATTTGAAATTTTCCCATTTGTTTGCTGGAAATAGAAAAAGTGTGCGTGTATGTGCGTGATCAGCTCTCATGCTTTTTCTGTTTAAAAACAGGCAAATTTTCACCAAAAAAATAATGCAAATTCATTTCCTTTGATATTTTTACATTATGTGTTGACATGTTCTAAATGCTCCAAGCCAGAGGTGATGGTTTTATCTTACAGGTGGACACTAAACAGATCGAGTGGAAACAGAGAGAGGTGAAAGCCCAGCTCCTTGGAGGTACTTTGGTACCTAACTCCCATCAAATTCAGTAGGAGTTAGGCTTCTAAATATCTTTGAGGATCTGAGCCAAAGTAACTTGCCCAAAATATCAGAGCACATCAGTGGCAGAGGAAAGAATAGAAAATTGAAGGAGCCGATTATCTCATTAGCTGCTCTCAAATAAACTCCAGAAGGAGTTGTATTCATATAATGGACAGCTGGGCCCTAGACATCTTGATTCTTAGCATGATGCCTTCTCCCTCCAGCTATGAAAACTTAAGTAGCAATTTGGTGACAAAATAATATTACGTTTTTTGGGAAACAGAAGATGGAGATTGTTGCAAAATCATGAAATCAAGTAGAAAAAAAATCCTTACTTTCTAGAGCATGACTGCAGTGCTGCAGGGCTCTGTAGTTGCTGTGATGCCATATGTTAAGTGGGGGGCAGTGGTGGGGGGTGTGGAGGATAGAGGGAGAGTTGCCCTGGAGAAGTCTGAGCAGCAGGTCAGGAAGTCATAGGAAATCCAGGGAATTGTCTCTGTTGGATGGTATTCTACTGGTGCCTACTGTAGGCTTGGCCTTAACATAGTCAACTAGGAGTGAAAGCCTGATCCAGTTTTAGTTAAAGCACTGCAGTGTGATATATGGCTACTCTTAGTTCAGTTTAAATCTAGTTTAGTTTAATTTATAAATTTGCAGGTGACAGCTAACCAAAGCATGCTTTCATGGAAATATCCATTAACTTATCCAAACTTATGCAAGTTTTCACATAGACAAACCCTGAGCCTGACTACTCAAAACTTTCAGCAGCTATCACTATAAAAACCTGAGAGAACTATGCCATTTCCCTTTGAAGTTCACCTTTAAGCACAAAGGCACAGCTGTAAGTAATTAGATTCCAAAGACATAATTACTTTATAATGCTCATTTTGTAATTACATTCAGTGTCCCCAAATGCCCCCTTGCAATTTTAAATGGATACAGAAAACTTCCTCACTTCCTGTCCTTAATTGTTGGGCAGTGTAACTGTGCATGGTCTACACGCTGTCATGTTCCACCCCAGAAATAGCTGCATTCCAGTAGTAAGGATACTTGATCTCTCTTTATGGTTCATGTTTCTTTTTGGTAGGAATGCAAAGAACTTTGGAGTCTTTCTAGGTGAACACACACAATAGAAATACTACAGTAATTATCCATAGCAGAGGGCAGTGCTTGGGTACATGTGGCCAGTCTGGGTGTGAACTAGCAAGGAATTAAGCTTTCTCAACAAAGAGCCCTTCAAGACTGTCCCCGTGCAGAGAAGGGCTGGCAGCTGTGGCTCATTAGGCTGTGAGGAGGTGGAATTGTATCATCTAATTGGGGGAAGTCATAAAAAGGAAGCAGAGACCTGCAGAGTGGGACGTGAAGTGCTATGTTCCTGAGAAGAGCTGTTTTGGAGTTTCTTAACCCAACGAGGACCAAAGGGAGTAGAGGGTCTGGGAGCTGTTTGCCTGTTTTGTTTATGCAAGACTGAGACTGAAGCTCCAGTAAGATGGGAGGTCTTTTTCTTGTTCAGCCTTCCCTGAACCGTTAGTAAAGGAGGCTTTTTTTGGTGGGTCTTGAGCCTCCCTACATGATGCTGCCTTGTGGCTATTGGGCTTCACTTAGTTCTGTGGCTGCTTTCCTTTCCTTTGGAAGTGGCTGGACTAGTTGTCTCCTGGAGCATGATGCTTTAAAGGGTCTTGGTTGTGATCCTCAGGGCTGGCTGATGGTCCTGGTAGGACTCAGCATATTTCCATGGAGAGAAGGTGTCTCTTTTTCTCTGCATACAAGTGAATGCTTTCTCTCTGATGCTGCTTTCTCTGACCTGTCTCCTATCCTCCTTGTGAGTCTGGAGGCTCCGATTAGAGAAAATGAATGCTCCAGGGGTGCTCCTCCTAGCACTCGCCTCTTGTGCTGTAACCATCATCTGCAGCTATGTTTGCAACAATGACTGGTGGTGGCTGTGGCAGGTTATGTCCTGTGGTGCTGCAAAATGAGAGGCGAGGAAGCAGGCAGGAGTGAGAAGGAATGGCACCTCCAGAGGTGTAGCTCCTACCTGCTGTTTTGAATGCTGAGCCCTACCCTGAGAACCCCCAAGCCACCACAATTATCTCCCTCCTAAGCACTATCTCCTGAGCAGAAATGACTTGGATGTGCAACATTGGGAGCAAAATGGAAAGGCTTTGTGGTTTTGGATGCATTTAAGGAGGAAGAAACCAGTCTGAGGAAAATAAAGCTTCATCCGCTCCAAGTGTGGCTCCTGCTGGTACAGGAATTGCATTGGAAAACTGATCCTTGCCCTCCTCCAAACTGAGAGGCTCCTGTCTTGGGTAAGTCTGCTGGGGTGAGGGGGTGCTTGGGACCACTTTAAGCAATATATGCTGTTTAATTGCTATGGGTTGGGTATGTGCATGGGTGGTGTAAATGGGCAGGCCTCATTTCCTCAGTGGTGGGGGGGCTGCAGTGCACAGATGCCTTCTACCTGTCCTTAGATCAATACGTGTACAACCTACACCCTTCTACCTGACAAATAATTTAGCCTGTGGCTGAGGTGCACTTGTGCTTGTGGGGTGAAATGCAGACAGTTTAATGGTATGCAGCAGTGGCTTCGGGTAGGATTATGCAGTGGTGGTGGTTGGGTTACCGGGAAGTGCCATTCCTACCTCTGTGCTAGGACACGCATATAGCTGTAGCTGTTCAAACCTGTGGCCCATCTGTGATTAAATCCTGCCTGCAGCTGGGCTCTTCCAGGGATGCTGCAGAAAACCTGAAGTGGAGAGTTTTTGAAATAACTTGCCCATGGGGAAGCTCTTCTCAAGCCCAGATAGTTTTCAGCTGACTGCCCTGAAGTACAGGTGTTCAGATCTTTCTGATGATACCTGTTTTGAGCTTGGTGCTGGCTGGCTCAACCCTGCTCCTAGTGAAGCCAATAGACAGTTGCTCACCTCAGTGGGAGTTGGGTTGGGTGCTTAGTGTTTTTGACCCAGTCACTCGATTCCCCGTTCTTGCAGAGTCCCAACCAGGTCGCTTGAACCATGAACACAACTGTACTGGTGCAGTTTTATATCTGCTTTCGGCTCCTTCTTGGACAGAGCAATCCATTTCCTGAGGGATGCAAATGGCCCTAAGGCTGGTAGCTACAAGCTGGAGACATTAGAGGAAGCATCAGGGCTGCAGTCTCCTGGTAGGGAGGGTAATGTTGAGGAGCTCAGGTGTTTGCCTTGCAGTGACCAAATAGCCAGGTGTTCCCCTGCAAGCCTTTTGCGAAGCCAATGAACCGCAGACTCCCTGCTCAGAAAGTTAGAGGGAAGGCAAGACCAGAAAACCAGTTGGGTTTGTTGCTGTGTCTTTGGCTCCTTTTAAGGGAGCAGCAGCCCAGAGCTGGCATCAACCCCTACAGAAGGGAGCAAGGTGGGAGACCTCCAGAGCCCAAACCTATATACACACCCTCCTCATCTGCAACTGGCACGTACTCAGCTGGTTGCACACATGCATTTTATTTGAACAAAACCAGTGCTGCATGCATTTGATTTGAGCCCAAATCTGACCTAAAAATACATACATTCCTTCTCCCCCCTACCCTAGCTTCGTGTGCATCTGGTTCCCTGCTTCCATGCGTCAACTTTGCTCCTGTAAAAAATTAAAAAAACCAAAAAAATGAAAACTGTTATCTCTTAAAAAAAGACCTAGATACCCACTGCCTAGCAGAGGCTGCTTTTTCTGTCTGAAACCATGATGATAGCAGCATATATAGGAGTGGGGGGGGGGAGGATGAATGGCCTTGCCTCTTTTTTTCAGGTTTCTAACAAGTATTCCCTCTTTAATTATTACTTTTTTTTTTCTTCCCCCCACCCCCAGCCTGGTAGAGAAGACTTGCTCTGTCAGTCAAGTCGGTGACTGCTGTGGGAGGAGCTCCGCCGGAGGAGGCTGTGTGGCTGGGATGCTGAGACACCGAGGATGGAGCTGCAAGGAGCGTGCACACTAGCAAGGAGACGGGCGAGCAGAGGCGGCTGAAAGCAACTCCATCCGTGCCGACAGCGAGAGGCCGGATTTGCAGCGGCAGCCCCCAAGTTCCTCGCCCCTTCTCCCCGCCAACTCCGAGGAATGAAAGCTTTCCACGCAGACCTGCTCCTGCTCTGCTTCTTCCTGCTCAGCCAAGGTAGGAC